TCTTTATATACGCAAATAGCGTGACAGACAGACGGACAAAAATGCAATAAAGTCTGGAGGTACTTACAAGCTTACGCTTTCAGTGATAAAATATACAAAATATAGAATATGTGTCTATATACTGGGTTGGCAAACGACGCCGACATTTGGGCAAACGACATGTCATACATGTCGCGACGACATTTTTTCAGGGATTTATGTCGTTGCCTTCTGAAGGGCGAAGGGCCGAAGCCCGGCTATGGTTTTTTTTAAAACAAAAACAAGGAATACTATTCATTTTATCTTTATGCACTTACACACACTCTCTCTAGAGTAGAGGGGAGGAATTTTCCGGATTGAGATTTATCCATAGCCTTCTAAATTATACAGATTTATCAGATTATAGTTTGTTGCAATTTTTATATATTAAAATAGTCAATATTTTCTCGGGCATTAATAAATATTTAGTTACGGGTGCCGTATACTATATTCACAATCCGAGCCCTCGGGCTCGCCCTATTTTAAAATTGCTATTGTGGGGTTTTTTTTAATACAAAGAGAACCAAAAGTCCATATATTTACGTAAAGTCATATTTAATTAAATACCATGTAATGATGTAAATATTTTTGTTTTTAAAAGACATTTGTCGCTGGAAAAAAAGTCTTGGTCGGGGAGTCGTGGACATGAATGAATATTTGGAGAAGAAACTGTGTGCGTCAAGCCGTCAACACCTGGCATGTCAGAATATTGAGGTGCATTGTGTGAAGATTGTAATATGATAGTCTACTAGCACACTTGAGTGATTGATATAGGGTCACACTTGAGCAAGGACAGGACTGCAATTTCTAGTTTGGCTACCGATAATAATGTGTAGACTTCTATAATTTTTTTCTACTGTTCGACAAATCATCGAGGGGATAAGAATTTATTCCAGTCGCGCCTTGCGCGAACACTTGCCACAGAAGTCTTGCCTTGCGCGAACACATTTCGGTATGCAGATCTCGATATATAATTGTAAAATCCTGGGGACCAAATCGGTGATGAATGGGCAAAGCTGAGATGTTATCTGAAGTAAAGGAAAGATATTCACTCTTGTAGAAATACTAAATACATTCTCTCATCCGTACTTATCATTGAGGTCGTCCAAAATTTCCCACAACTCGTCTGTTGTTCGCCCAGAGCGTTTCTACCTAACTGTGGTAGCTTTCACCCTTCCCAACAAAGTACAGTTTTAAAATGTCTGTGATAGCATCCACCCTCCCCAACACAAAACAGACATTCGTGAAAAAAAAAAAGGTTTGTGTCGGCCACACCTTATTTTTAAAGCGAGATTAGAAATGTGCTCCCCTTTCGAGCTCTGTAACCTAAACTGGCTGATGTCATTATGATAGTAGTAAAAGTGACAGTAAAACAATTCGTACCAAAAACGCGAGGTACGAAAGTTACAAGTCATTGGCCGAGTTTAAACGCAAGGGAAATGCTCTGGACTCGCACAATACTAGATAAGTCCGTAACTATGACAAGCCATTATTTTACCAAGCTGCCGTGCATTTATTTCTTAGTGTTGCAAATTCGGATTTATCATACAGGTATACATGAATGGAAAGTAACCGGAAACTTATTTATACCAGGATATAAGGACATTGGGCGATCATACAATTATGATGATCAAACCAGAATCTAAGTATATATATCAAACTCCTCAGTGCATATCCTGGTTGTGTGAATGTACAAAGTGATCGAAAATCCATACACGACGTTAAATTTAATTCATATTGCGTTCTATGCTGATATCTATCCTTAGCACTTTAATTCATATTGCGTTATATGCTGATATCTATCCTTATCACTTTAATTCATATTGCGTTATATGCTGATATCTATCCTTATCACATCTCGTCACATCTTGTCTGGAGGCGCCGCCTTAGCAAAGTGGTCCAGTGTGTCAAACACCAACTGTCCATTGCTCTCTAGTTTCACCACAGCGTCCTTTTTGGAACTGTCCGAGTTGCTGCCACCCACAGCCGTCACCTCACCGCGGGTGCCACGGTGCTCTCCCACTAGTATGATAACCTGGTAGAGGATACGCATGCGTGCAACAGAGTTAGACTGGCAAGGATCGATTCTGAAAGTAGCACCGGTAAAACACGATCAGACTCACCTGGTAATCTATACAACTTTGACTGTGTTTTGAATCGAAAGTATCAGGACCAAAATATATGGTTGAGAGGAGGGGCGTTGTTGACTAACTTTAAGCACATAACACAACTTATGAAGAAGTAGTGTTGGTATTGTTGGCGAATGAGGTTCGTGAAGTTGTTGTCACATAGTTCCAGCACCTCAACGCGTAACGAGACCCTTGTAAACCCTCAGGCAATTCTATTCCAGAGGCTAAAGGGGTGTACGTACTACGGGCAGATAGTCCATTCTAACTAGTGTATACTGCTACAAATGTACATATATGATATTGGTGAGGAGAGCTGGTACCAACTCAGCACTGCATACCTTGTCCTTTTTGGCGGCGTATGAGCGCTGCAGGTCGCGGTGCGAGACGTTCCTGATTGATCCGTTGTCTGACAAGTTGAAAAGTTGAATACAAATGAGATTAGTTTGAATCCAGAATTTTAAAAACAGAACAGAAATCAAATTGTTTTGTATACCAAATTTAAAAATACAACAGAAATCATGAGCAAGCAGAGTCCAAGGTTGTGCAATGGCACAAGATAGAGATAGGTTGCAGACGTACTTTACGCAGGTATAAAGTGAATTAAAGGAAACTTCGATATTTGGGATATTGATAGATCATACAAATAGATCGATGATTGCGACCGAGCCATAGCACACATGCACACACACACATATATATATATATACATATATATATGTGTATACGTATGTATATGTGTTTATCATTGTATATATATATATATAGATATATATATATATATATGTGTATACGTATGTATGTGTGTTTATAAATAGATATAGATATATATATATAAATAGATACACACACACACACACATATATATATATATACATACATATATACATACATACATACATACACACACACGCACATAAATATATATACATACATACATACGTACATACATACATACATACACACACACATTTTTTACACATATATATATACATACATACATA